CTACAATTATTCAGGACTAAAGTTCATAACCCATTTTCAAGATGGTTTCCACAGGGGCACATCAGCGTTCCACTTCACTAAGCCCACAACTAAAAATTAGTTATTTAACACAAAACCGATTATCTCTTTCACCGAGAATTTGGAATTGTCGTGTTTGTGCCTTCTTTAAAAAGGATCTTCGTGACATTCGTAGAAAGCCATTTCGAATTCCCACCTTCTTGATTGCACCCCTTCTCATTCTTCCTGTGGTTACTTAATCTTCTTCCAGCATTTTTCCCCACAAATGTCCCGACTTTCACAACCGTGAGCAGGCCAAACACTACTGTAATGGGCCTCACGGCCCAATGGAAATCCTCAACGAGTTTGTATTTCTCCACAACACCGGGACACGTGTCCAAAGATACTCGCTCCACCTCCTCAGGATGAGCCAAGAAAATTCCCGGCCCGTCCCTGAAAATGAACCTTCCAGGAAATTCAATTCCGAGGCACCCATTCGAGAAAATTTGTGAGACTCTCCCACAGGCCCAAGCCTCTCCTCTCTTGTGGGGCCACTCGAAACGGGGATTCTTGATCTCCGCCTTCAACCTCACAAAATGTCCCACGAAAAAAGGCTCGACCTTCCTGATCTCGTCAAAATTTCCTCTCCAAAGAGCCTCCAACCCCAGAAAACCTACAGCAACACACCCATCACGGCCTATGTGGTGTAAAATCCCAAGAGATGAATGCTCCTGACTCTCTTTCTTCAGCCGGACCCAATCCCCCGATGCCAAACCAAAACTTTCCCTCTCTAGAGATAAAACCTTTAATCTGAGGTGGTTGTGCGAGTTCGGGATACGGACGAGGGCAAATCCGTCTTTCTCGCTGTTGTTGTCTAACCCAACCACGACTCCTTTGGTTACAACTGGGCTTATTGGTTCGGACGAGCTTGGGACTTTTCTTGATATGACAGTGTCACCAATGTGAAGAGGATTTTTCGAAAGGTACCAAGTGGTATAGCCACGGGATTGTGATTGAGCCACACAAGGGTTGCTCGTCAACTCACTCCAAGATCCATCATTGTGAATGATATTCCTTGACCTGACAGGCCAGAAATCAATTTTGAGCAAAATTCATAACAGAACTGTGGAATTTTGGGAAAAAAAAAAAAATGTCTGCTTTTAGAAGATCGGGTGATTTTTTTATTGTGACAGGAAGGAAAAAGTGATTTTTATGAACCCTACAGAAAATCTTATCTTTAATATACTGATTAAATTACACTGATGTAGAAGTAGAAGTTGGCACTATATAAAACAAGTTTTTCGATCTGAAACTGACAACCACATCTTGTGAATGTTTGCAAAGAACTTCTACGAGAAAGAATCTCAACATTTTTTAGGTGGGGGGTGTGGGGGAACCTTTTGAACGCCTGCAAAATATCCGACATCAACGGCCTGTTGCGCAAATCATACTCGAAGCATCCCTTGAGAATGTCTTCCACTTCAGGAGGAAGACCATCAGGAACCAATGGCTTTTCTCCTCGTATAACAACTGCATGATGAATCTCCTCAATAGACCGTCCACACCAGGGTGGACTTCCAGTCAGCATTTCTATCATACTGCATGCAAATCCCCACGAGTCTGTCTCGAGGGATATTGGGCCTCTCACACCAGGTTGCCATTGTTCAGGAGCCATGTAGTTGGGGGTCCCAAGCCTGAATGCTAAATTGGAATCGAGCCAGGGAATCCCGAGGAGTAGGTGTGGGACCCCAAAGTCCCCGAGGGCAACATTGTCACGTTCGTCGAGAAGGAAATTATTCGGCTTGAGATTTAGCACCAAGACCCCAATTTGGTGAAGCTGTTGAACTCCTTTGGCTACTTCAATACCGTATCTAAATATTCATCCAAAGGGTATTAGTAATGGATTTACTTATATTTACAATAACATAAGTGACAAAAGAAAAGGAATATAAAAGTTTATTCTAAATTAAAAGAAAGTGCTCGGTGAATCTGTTGTAAGCATGTGTATTAATGTGTAAGAGTCAAATCCGCCTGCTTTATGATTCTGGGTGAATTATGTAGAACCACAGATCAGAAGTTTGCATTTCAGAACACGAATAGCAATAATTTGAATTTAAAATGAGAGTGTCTCAATAATTAATTGTAATATTTCACTCGTATAGAAAGTCGATAAAGACGCATATGCAGAAATAGAAATCCTAAAGCACGAGTCGCTCTAAGTTCTGACCAATCAAGATCGCTAGTTGGCCGTTGAATTGAGAACACTACCAAACCTGATAGTCACCTTATTGAAGTATTTGGATACACTCCCTATATTTCATGCTTACAGGCTGAGTTCCCTACTAATGAATGAAAGTGACAAACTACAGAAAGAACACCTGAGAGTTGTGTTGTCTCACATTTTCCAATTTGTACACAGAAAGTCGTTTCAAAACCCCCCTTAAACATACGGAAAGATCATGATTACCCCCTAAAACGTTAAGGGAAAATAAAAAATAAAACCCGAAAAGCAACAGAATTTTATTTACCTCAATACATCGGGCAGTGGAAGCTTTCCTCCTTTCACATGCGCCAATCGGTCGCCTACCGACCCTTCATATGACTTGAGAGCTATGCATATCTATCAAACAGACAATTACGAACAACTTATCATCATCTTAACCTGTAATAAAACAAAAATGGCGGCAGCACATATTCAGAAACACACAAAAAACCGGACCTTGCCAGACAGCACCGAGATGCCGTGCAACCAGCACACGCTATCCATCCTCCTCGACTTAAGATTCACCCACAAATGCTCAAACCTGCGTAAGAACTCGTTCATGTCCCCCACAGGATGCACCATCTTGAGTGCCACCTCATGGTGCTCATCATAGTCCGTGCCCGACTGGTGATGTGTGGCCAGCCAAACATCGCCTAACGGGCCGTGACCGATCCTGTACTTGAGCTTCAATGACGAAGGTTCAATGTGCGGGCCCGGCTGAGCTGGCGTGGCGTTTACGGTCTTCAGCTGGTCGGGATCTCCTTCGTACAGCTCGTAGTCGAAATGAGCGACTGATGGGAATGCTTTGACCTGTTCTGTCATTTTGGGGACTGGAACAAAGAGCCAAGGAATCGAGAAAAATGGGTCGATTAATAAGTGGGTTTTGTTCAGGTTGAAGCAAATTTTAAGAGGCAAAAATGGCAGCAAAATAAATGCATACCCTCAAAAGACCGAGTGGAACAACTCCTTTTCATGATTACACACAAAATTAGATAAACAATCGACTCCGATTGTGAATCTTATGAGCTAATTCTTAATTTCTATGTTTTCGTTCAACATAAACTTTCACCGACACAGATCAAAAGCAATTTTACAGCTGAATTTTGAAGTTGTGGCATCTCAAGGCAAACAATGGTTAAATGAATTAGAACAGAAAAATAAGCATAAAACGCAGAACGTCAGATAATTGAAGGAATTCTCAAAGCATAATCGACATTACCTTGACAGTAATGAGACAATCGAGTGTGAAAATCTTGATCTTGTTCTCTAATAAATGAAAGAAAACCAGAGTTAAAAGAGGAGAGGATGCACAGCACACTCAACCCAAGAGGCGACAACAAGAGAATCGCATTGTGGTAGATAGCTTTAAAGTCAACTAATAATAGTTGATGCACAAATATAAATATTAAAATATTATACATTATGTGAATGTATAATATTATATTAAAATTATAAAACTGATAATAGATATATCACATTTTACATATTTAATCTTGATTAAATCCTCCCTATATATATATATATATTATTATTATTATTTTATTATTATATATATTATTCTCGAATGCGCGTTGAGCCTACGTGACTGCTTCTGGTGCTTCGGAATAATAGTTGATGCACAAATATAAATATTAAAATATTATACATTATGTGAATGTATAATATTATATTAAAATTATAAAACTCATAATAGATATATCACATTTTACATATTTAATTTTGATTAAATCCTCCCTATATATCCTCCCTATATATATATATTATTATTTTATTATTATTATATATATATTATTCTCGAATGTGCGCTGAGCCTACGTGGCTGCTTCTGGTGCTTCGGAATCCTACTTGGCAAAGAATCATGC